GGCAGGGCGTAGAGTCGTGATTGTCAGAAGTTCATCCTTGCCTTGGCTGCAGAGTAAATATGAGTCCAACCTGAGCTATAAGAGATCTGAAAGAAAGAAAGAAAGAAAGAAAGAAAGAAAGAAAGAAAGAAAGAAAGAAAGAAAGAAAGAAAGAAAGAGAGAAAAGGAAGGAAGGAAGGAAGGAAGGAAGGAAGGAAGGAAGGAAGGAAGGAAGGAAGGAAGGAAGGAGGGAAGGGGGAGAGAGAGAGAGAGAGAAGAAAGAACTCCCTACTGAACACTATACCAAGGGCACAAATGATAACACTGGACCAGACATCCCGACATCCAGAGAGCTAACATCACAGCCACAATCCTCATCGTCCCATCTGCGTTCCCTATCCGTTGTCCGGGTGCCCAAGGCCATCACTCTCAATACCTGTCTCTCCCTGTCAGCCTTGCCTTTTCTAAGACCCCACCTGGTCACCTCCACGCTCTTCCAGTCCCCAATATCTCTCACCCAGGTAGCACAGTCCTCTCCTCATTGATCTCCCTGCTCAGCCCAGACACTTAATGGCTTTAAACGTCAGCTTTCCTGCCCTTAATGAAAATAACAAAACACACGTGGTAGATGTGGCTAAGAATTCTCCATCAGTAGAGGCACCAGCAACAACAGGTCCCAGCACCGCGAATGCTCGGCACCCGAGGAGAAACTGGCCTGGGCTCAAGGTGCGATCTCAGAGAACAGGACTGAAACGATGTCCACGATATTTTATTTGACATCAGCAAACCCTTGCTTCGAGTTCCCACGTGGCACCCCATTCGAAACTGCAGCCATATGTCCCAGTTCCACGCTCAGATGAGTAACTTCCAGAGGTTCGCAAATCTCAGAGGCCAGCTGTGTTGTCTTACCCCTGGAGGTTTCCGACCAGCCATGACAGCGTCCTGTGGCTTGGTTTGGGGTTTTCTCTTCCCCCTCCTCCCTCCCACCCAGCTGTCTGTCTGTCTTGATGTAGGTCCTAACTAAAACCCCTGCTGAGCTCTGTTACACTCCCAAGGTAAAGCCAGGGCATCCACCGAGTCACCTTACCCACACCTGGTCCACACCCCAAATTTGGGTTTTTATGATCTATGAAACCCAGACATGTTGATTTAAGAAAAAATGACAGTAATTCAGACACTGTTGGAAAGGTTGGGGGTGGGGACTGGAGAGACTTACTGGTTAAGAGAACCCACTGCTTACAGATGACTCCTGTACCAGCCCCAGGCAGCTCACACTGAAACTCCAGCTCTAAGGGACCCGACCCCCTCTGGCCTGCATGGGCACTGTGTGTGTGTGTGTGTGTGTATATGTGCGCACGCGTGCGTGCATGTGCGTGTGTGTGCAGGCACACATACATACACATAATAAATAAATAAGTTTTTTTTTTAAGAGAGGAGAAAGAAAAACAGACAACCAACCTAAAAAGGGCAGCAAGAAGTTGGGCGCAGGCCAAAAGCAGAGCACCAACTCCAATCTTAACGCCTTTGTAGGTTAAATTATTATTATTAAAGTAGAGAAGACCAGTCATTTGATCCCTGTGTGGCCACGCAGACAGGGCTTGCCCTTGAACTTCACATCTACAGAGTTTCCAGATCTTTCTCCTCATCTCCTGTCTACGTTTGGGGACATGACGGTAGACACCGCTTTAATTGTCATCGTGACAAACACGAAGCCACCCGAGTTCAGCTCTCTGTTCGGGAGACTTGCACCTATCTTCAGACTTGGGTGTGCTTTTGTCTAACTCCTGTATTCAGACTCGGTGTGCTTCTGTCTAACTTCCTAAGCTAAGCAGACAGTGCTGGGGGAGGCAGGAGGAGCTGGGGAAAGTTTGGGGCCTCGGCTCCTCAGGGGTGCTCCTGATAGCTGTGGGGGCAGCCTGCCCCATGGCTCTCTCCTAGCTCCCAGCAGACGCTGGATCTGGAAGGTTCTGGGCTTCTAGACACATCCTCCAAACTCCACCTCTCCGCACAATGTCTTCTATCTTCTCGTAAAGACACTAATCTGCTGGCTCAGGGGCCCAGCCTCCTCCAGCAGGTCCTCATCCACCTATATAATTACCCTGTTTCCAAAGAAGGTGGCATTCTGAGGTCTTGGAACATCAGTGCATCTATTTTGGTAGCTACAGATCAACCCATAACGCTCTCTATAGAAATCTTTCTCCACCACACATAAAAATACCAGCTATTTCTATTTAATAATCATTTAACACTTAAAAAATTCCTTGTATTGCTCAGTGGGAGGTACACCTTTTCTTTTAGCTTTCTTTGTTCCTATACTTTGTTCTTATAAGGCAGGCTTTTGAAAAATGAAAAATATCCTAACAGATCTATACAACTAGGAAACAACAGCTATGAAAACACTGAGGGGTTTTTAACTGAAATTCAGTTATTTCCTCTTAAAATGTTTATGATCTGCATCCTTAAAAATTATTCATTTAGTGTGTTATGCATGCATGTATGTATGTGCATGTATGTATGTGCGTGTATGTATTGCATGTATGTATGTGCGTGTATGTGGGGAGGGAACAGAGAGGGAACAGATAGAGAGGAAGGGACAACTTGAAGGAGCTCCACCATTTAGATTCCAGCGATAGAACTCTGGTCCATCAGCCTTGGCAGTAAGCATTTACCCACTGAGCCATCTTGCCAGTCCGAATCATCAGTATTTGTAAAGAAATTGCTGGGCGGTGGTGGCGCACGCCTTTAATCCCAGCACTCAGGAGGCAGAGGCAGGTGGATCTCTGTGAGTTCGAGGCCAGCCTGGTCTACAGAGAGAGTTCCAAGACAGGCTCCAAAGCTACAGAGAGAAACCCTGTCTTGAAGAGCGAGAGAGAGAGAGAGAGAGAGAGAGAGAGAGAGAGAGAGAGAGAGAGAGAGAGAGAGAATTTGAATCGTGAGATGATGCCTCCTGGGAAAGGCTTAGAAATCCTGCAATCCAGGTGACTTTCAGTGTTTGACACCAAATCTGCAGGCTCCTGCAATTTACCAAGGCAGAAATGACCTCTGAGGCCTTGCACCGCAAATCAGGGTTTATGTCTCACCAACACAAGCTCTCTTGTTTAGAAAAGTTTTCTTTACTCAGGTGTACAGACATGGGACTCAGAAACAAGGTGTCGTTTCTGTGGGGCTTGGTGGGAGACATCTCCACTGGTGTCCTGAATGCGCACAGCAGATGCTGTCAAGCCATTTATTTAGTGCTGGTTGCATAATTGCCTGCCTGTGATTGTCACAGACCTGGTGAGAGACTGTCAGTGACACAGAAAGTCCTGTCAATTTAACCATCGATGTCTGCAAGGCTATCAGGTAACTTAAAGTTACAGGAAGTATGGAGCTGTAACGACAGTCTCTGAAACACTTTAGGGTGCAGGGAAGCCCCTGAAACAAACACACACACACACACTCATGCATGAATACATACTCACACACATGTGCACACACTCATGCATGAATGCACACACATGCATGAATGCATACTCACACACATGTGCATGCACACATTCATATACCAACTCATGCACACACATACACACACTCATGCATGAATACATACTCACACATGTGCATGCACACATGTGCACACACACTCATGCATGAATACACACACATGCATGAATGCATACTCACACACATGTACATGCACACACCACACACGTACACACACAGAGAACCTGTGCAAGACCTAAGGCCTTCACCCTGTCAGATGCCACTCTGCCCACCTGGCCCACTGAGGACTTTTACAACCCTTTGTCTTGGACCCGCATCTCTCTTGCAAATGCTTCCACAGGCGTACATATGACTGAGGGGAAAACGGTAGCCCACAGGGGACTCCAAAGTCAACCCTGGACAGGCCAATCCCACACAGCTCCAGCATGAAGCAGGGCCTTTCCAATGCAAACAGTAGTGCAGGGCCGAGCCTTCCTCAGCAGCTGGAGGAGAGTTACGCGGTTTCCTAGGAGACGTTCAGTTAATATGTCCTCTACCGAATGAACGGCCTTAAAGTGAGAAGCAAGGCTGGGAAGGATTGCTTGATGCCAGCAGAACCTGCTGCTGCTATGGGAAGGTGGGGGGAGCTGGAGGTGGGGTAGGGGGCTCATTAACACCTCTTAAATTAGAACATCCTTAAATTAAAAATAGCACCTAATGATTTCTAAAATTAGCCCTCCTTGCTTTCCATAAATACACGCTTTGACCTCCGGAGACTGGTCCACTCACCAAGCCTTGCAGGCAGGCAAGCCTTACCTTAACTGGTAACCTTCACAAGGAAAGGCTGGACAAGGTCAGGGGTCAGCCAGGAAGACCGTGGCCGCCCGGGACAGCAGGGGACTGACCTGCTGGGCTTGAGGAGTTCCCCACCCTGGGGTACCTCTGCGGCTAGCGAAACTGAGCTGGGCCCTAAGCACCTGGCCACCTGGGAACCCTGTCCCTGGGCAGAACCCTGTCCCTGGGCAGGAGCCAGAAGTCTTAATGTCACATTAGCTCTGAATTCCAAAGCAGCCTCTGGGGTGCCTGAGAAAGTCACACCCTTTAGAGACCCAGCCTCTCCAGGCTGTTCTCTAAGTCACAATTGGTACACACACCTTAACACGTGCCAGTCAGCCCAAGCTGCGTGGATAACATTTGTTATTACTAATTACTGACCAAACAGAAGGAAGGCTCAGGTGTAACAGAAAAGGCTGAGTTTAGATAAAAAGCAGAACTTCCTCCACCTGCTTCCCACGAGTAGGACCCAGGAGACATTCAGAATGGGGGCTTTGACGTGCGGTCCCCTGGGGGCTCCAGGAAGCACAGGCTGCTGGGACCTGCATCTCTCTCTTCCAGCTCTGTCCTTCCACCCTATGAAGTCCCCAAAACCATTTTATTTTTAGGATATGTAAATTATCATACCAACCGCCTATGGAAAAGCGTTTCAGTTGCAGAAATAAATGCATCGAGATAATATTTAACCCAGTTCCCTTTTCTCACCCTCCCCTTTGCTTTATTAGGCCACCTGCGGGCACCTAAGGAACAGACCCAGCCCTAGGGACCCGGGCGCTGCCTGGCGCGGCTAGCAGGGCCCTTGGCCATGGCCAGCACAGCCGTCCAGCTTCTGGGCTTCCTGCTTAGCTTCCTGGGCATGGTGGGAACGCTCATCACCACCCTCCTGCCGCACTGGCGGAGGACAGCCCACGTGGGCACCAACATCCTGACTGCCGTGTCCTACCTGAAGGGGCTGTGGATGGAGTGTGTGTGGCACAGCACGGGCATCTACCAGTGCCAGATCTACCGGTCGCTGCTGGCGCTGCCCCGGGACCTGCAGGCGGCACGGGCGCTCATGGTCATCTCCTGCCTGCTGTCGGGCATGGCCTCCGCCTTTGCTGTGGTGGGCATGAAGTGCACTCGTTGTGCCAAGGGCACACCCGCCAAGACCACCTTCGCGGTGCTGGGGGGCGCGCTCTTCCTGCTGGCCGGCCTGCTGTGCATGGTGGCCGTGTCCTGGACCACCAACGACGTGGTGCAGAATTTCTACAACCCGCTGCTGCCCAGTGGCATGAAGTTCGAGATCGGCCAGGCCCTGTACCTGGGTTTCATCTCCTCGTCTCTGTCCCTCATTGGGGGCACCCTGCTCTGTTTGTCCTGCCAGGATGAGGCTCCCTACAGGCCCTACCAGGCCCAAGCCAGAGTTGGGGCCACCACCACGGCCACCGCCCCTGCCTACCATCCACCAGCAGCCTACAAGGACAACCGTGCCCCCTCGGTGACCTCAGCCTCGCACAGTGGGTACAGGTTGAATGACTATGTGTGAATTCCTTCCCAGGCCTCTGCCAGGGCTGCTGGCCCCCAAGGGACCACTGACAGATGCAGGGAGGAGGCAGAGACCCATGCGCATGGGGGAAGTGAGCCCAGAACCCTGGGCAGGGTGCTCTTCAAAGCAAAGACTTCTAAAAAGTGCTGTTTTTGTATTTATTATATGTATTTATGTGGGTGGTTTCATGAGAGCTCAATAAAGACTGGCTTGGAAGCTTGGCCCACGGGGTCGGTTTGTGACGTGGGAACAAGCCCCTCGGAGGTGGTTCTAAGGTGGATGGCAGTGGGTGCTGCTTCTTCAGGGGTAGAAAAGGTCATCAAAGCCCTAGGAATTTCGAGTATCCTGGTTGGGCAGCCAGACATTGAAGCACTATCATCCACTAGTGCATGATGGGAAAATCTGAGAAAGCTAACTGCTGTGCCCCCAGGACATCACAGAAGCCCTGGAAGTCCAGAGATCAGAGGGGCACAGTATTAGGAAGGTTGAGAACCATCTAGAATCCTCTGGGTTAGTTACCTGGTGTGTCTGTGAGGAACTTTGGAGACTGGTTAAGGGAGGAAGGAAAAACAACCCAAGGTAGGAAGCACCATCCTGGGGGCGGGGGCACAGGACCAAAAGCAGGAAGCTGCAGCTCAGGGGAATAAGTGTTTGTTGTGGCTACAGTCTGAGGGTTCAGTGAGTGAGGAATCCCCGCGCTCTCTGACTTTCTGCCTGCCTTTGGTTCCCAGCCTTCCTGATGCTGCGACCCTTTAATCCAGGTCCTCATGCTGCGCTGGCCCCGACCATAGCACCATCTGTTCCCACTTCATAACTGTAATTTTGCAGCCGTCATAAACCGTAATGTAAATACCTGTCATGCGGCCTCATAGGGGTCGCGACTCACAGGTTGAGAATCACTGTTCTAGAACCTGTCACGTTACAATCAAAGTTAACCACACTGACACCAAGCTCTGCCTTGACTTTGGAGGGCTCCCTAGACCCTCGGGTTCCAGAATGTTGGGGAGCGGCAGAGTCCCCCAGGGGCAGGCGGAGCTGAGGAATCTCTTTTGTCTCCTGCAGTCAGTTCCTCCCACAATCTGCTCTGTCATTGAAGCCCCACAGGGTTCTGGGGTCTCCGGGTTTCTACCTGTAACGGAAAGCAGGGTGGGGAGGAGAGGGTTTATTCGCCTTACACTTCCGCACTGTAGTCCATGGATGAAGGAAGTCAGGACAGGAACTCAAGCACGGCAGGAACCTGCAGGCAGGATGCTGTTGGAAGGAGAGGCCGCTGGTTGGTTCCCAGCTGCCCAGCTAGCTTAGACCCAAAATAATCACGCAGAAACTGTATTAATTAAGACAGTGCTTGGCCCATTAGTCCTACCTTCTTATTGGCTAACTCTTACATCATAATTTAACCCATTTCAAGTAATCTGTGCATCACCACGAGGTCACGAGGTCGTGGCCTACCAGCAAAGTTTCAGCACGTCTGTCTCCAGCAGCTCCATGGCTTCTCTCTAACTCCACCTTCCTCCTCCCATGCTATAGGCCAAGCCAGTTTGTTATTCATTAACCAATAAAAGCAACACACAGACAGAAGGACCTCCCACACCAGGATGCAGAGGCCATGGAAGTGCTACTCACTGGCTTGCTCTCTATGGCTGGCTCAGTCTGCTTTGTTATAGAACCCCAGACCACCATCCCAGGATGGCTCCACCCACTATGGTCTGCACCTCCCCCATCAATCACTAATTGAGAAAACGCCTCACACCCGGATCTTTTGGCAGTATTTTCTCCATTGAGGTTCCTTCCTCTCCAGTGACTCTCTAGTCTGTGTCAAGTTGACGTAAAACTACCCAGCACACCTGGCAACATGAGGCAGCCAATCAGATAAGAGAGGGCTTGAAGGTCCCCGGGATGGTGCCTCCCTCACAACCAGCAGCTTGTAAAATGAGGAACTAGACAAAATAAGAGCTGTGTGTGTAACACACAATGAATTCACAAAAATGAAAAGTTTAAGGAAGGAAAAGGGGTTAGGGAGATCTGAGTCTGTCTCTGGCCTTAGGTAGAGATGTGACAATTCTCAACCACCTGGCAGCTGAGGATACAGCTCAGCTGGTAACATGCTTACCTAGCATAGGTGAGGCCCTTGGTCTTAAACCATGTGTGTTGGCAACTGTCTGTAGTCCCAGGCAGAGCAGACGTTAACATTACCCTGGAGAGGAGCTCAGCAGTCCAGAGCACTTGTTCTTGCAGAGGACCTGAAGTCTGTTCCTGACTCCCGCAATGTGGCTCACAACCATCCATAACTCCATTCTAGAAGATCCAACACCCTCTTCTGATCCCTGACGCCACCAGGCACTCATACAAACATGCAGATAAAACACATGAATCTAAAAAGAAAAAGGAAAACTGTCCTTGACTACACGGCAAGTCCAAGGTCAGCCTCGGATACATAAGACTGTGTCCCAAAAGACAAAATAATAAATAAAATTCTGACTGTGTCTCAAAAGAGAATAATAAAGAAAATTCTTTGAAAAATGCAAAAAAATAAAAATAAAACAAAACCTCCTTGGATGATTATAAGATTACCATATAGCCAGAAGCACTCTAATAAAGAAATAGTCCCTCTCTCAAGAGTTCATCCAAATGGCAGGAAACCAGACCTCAAGCAAGCAGCCTGACCTAGAAGTGTTAAGGACAGAAGAAGGTGGGCTGGTGAGATGGCTCAGCAGACCAGAGTGCTCACTGCTCCAAAAGGAGGCTGGATCCCAGCACCTCCTTGAGCAGGTCATACCGGCCTGGATCCACAACTCCAGGGACTTAGGTGCCCTCTTCTGGCTTCCTTGGGAACCACACACACACACACACACACACACACACGCACACGCACGCGCACGCGCGCACGATAGTAAATATAAAAATAAAAGAACAATAGGAAGCGAATTTGAAGCAGGATTGAATCCTTTTGAACAGGCAGGGGTGTTTGTTTACGCCAGCAGCATGGAACAGACCTCTAGTATAATCATCTTCTAACCATGTGAATCCTCATAGACACACACATAGTTTGTGACTCCCAATGGACACATATGTAGTTTGTGACTGTATGTGGAGCTTCTCAGAACTATCACTTATAGAGCATGAGGGTGGAGGTGCTTAGGGGTGGGTGGGGTCCTGACTGCAGAGGATGAAAGGTGACATCACTTCCACATCTGCAGCCCCCAGGGGAAACAGGAAGTGACATGTGGGTCCGCCCTACACCTAACAGGAAGTGATGTGTGGGTCCACCCTACACCTGGCCATCAAAACCTGGGAGTGGATGGGAGGCAGACCTGGGTCTTCCCCTGCAATTAACAGTGCCTCCCCTCATTTTCTCTTCCTCATTCACTCCCAGGACAAGTGTTCCTGCTCCTCTAAGTCTCTCTTTGCCACCTTACAATCAGGGCCGTCGCCATGGAGTAGACGCCATGCCATGGGGTAGATGCTACCTCCTGCTCAAAACCGCAGGCCTAGGTCTTAACCAAGCAGACTCCTTTGAGGCCTGACACAAGACCTCAAGTTTCAGGATGAGAAGGAAACATGAGTCAGACTCAGATGTGTTCCAGGAGGCCATTGTTACAACGAAGGATGAATTACAGCCCTGCCCCTGTGGATTGAGAAACACTACATTTGGTTCTCTCTGAATTTGGCTCTGATCCTGAGGTCTAGTCAGCCGCAATTTCTGGGTTGTTCCTCCTCCATTCAGGCCGCCTAGCACCCCCCCCCAACATACATACACACACACACACACACACACACACACACACACACACACACACACACACGGAAGGGCCTAATTTCAGGAGAAGTAAGAGGCCAGCCCTCCTCCCTTAGGGCAGCCCTGAATGGACACAGACCACCAGGCCCTGATGTCTTCCCATCCTGAGTCTCCTCCACCCACCCCTGAGACGAGACACGGGAGCCTTCCACCTGTGGGGCCTTGGAGAAGATACCCTTTTCTCAGTGGGTCTCTCGAGGAAGCCGTGCCCAGTCACGGGCCTGTGCCCTTCTGTGTTCAGCACCTGCCGCCCCCCATGGACCACACCCAAATGCTCTCACGGGTTGTGTCTTTCGAAACCTAAGCCCTCTGAAGTTTCCCTGACCATCCTAATTCCATTCTACCTGCAGTGACCACGTGGAGATACTATGAAGCTAAGGCAGTCCAGAATTTGTACAACCGAGGTTTACGTTTATGATAAACCAGAGATAGAAGCAGGATTTTGACCTTACAACTGGGTACCTGGGTCACAGCTTCAGGTCAGGCTCCTCTGGCTGTTGTTGCTTGTTTCATGGACCAAGGAGGGAAAGCGGAGGGAGGCAGCCTGAGTTTGAACCCCAAGACCCCCATGGTGGAAGGAGAGGACTCCTGAAAGTTGTCCTGTTTCAGAGGTCACGTGTTACCTGAAGCCCTTAAACACGCACACACACACACACACACAAGCACGCACATACACAAGCGCACGCGCGCACACATAAAGAGAAGAGGATTGCCAAATGATCACCCTGGGAGAGGGGAGAAACCCAACGGGTTTATCTGAGCTTTGAGGTCTGTATCACAGGGGCCCAGGACACGGCTCACCTGGTACAGTGCTAGCCTAGCTTACACGAAATCCTAGGTTCAATCCCCAGCACCCCCTAAACTGGGCAACACGGTATACATCCAGCCCTCGGGAGGCAGAGGCAGGAGGGTCAAGAGTTCAAGGGTCAGAGGTTTAGTCATCCTTTGGCTCTGAGAGGAGTTTGAGTAAGACCTGGGGTACCAAAGACCCTGCTTCAGAAAATACATAAATAAAGGTCCTAGAGTCCTCTGACTTCCCTCACCAGAAAGTGGAAGAGAGAAAGAGAGAGGGACAGAGACAGAGACACGGAAAACATTGTAATCTGATTTAAAAAAAAAAAAAAAAGTCTGTTCTGGGCAGCTGTCCAAAGGAAAACATTGAACTTCATCTAGTAAATTATTTTAAAATACTACCAATGGGCTTTGCAGGTGCGTGGAAGGGGGAAGGCATTAGTAAACCGCCCATTTCCTGCCGGAGAAAGGCCAGTGGAGGTCACCCCATAAATCACGCCCCCCAAGCTAATCACCTGCCTCTTCCTCAAGTCTCCTCTTGCTCAGTCAGCCTCACACAGGCAGGTGGGCAGCCCAGCGCAGGTCTGCTTTAAATCCCTTTTACCGAAGGCCTTTCTTCTTAAATGCTCACCACCTTCCCCCAGGCTGGCAAGACTGGCAAATGATTGACAGGCTGGAGCGGTCCTTCTGCCAGGGCAGCCTACCAGCTCCTGCCCGGGGCATCAGCTGCCTCCAGCTCCGGGGAGGTCTGGGAATTTTTCAGTCATCTCAGGCATTTTTCCGACAGAAGGTGTTTGCATAGACTTCTCATCCAGCCTAATAACTAGAGAGAAAAACAGGAGGGTTTTGGTCTAGTGGCTTCAACAGGTGTCTGAGGAAGTGGGCTTGCCTTGGGTGAGAGCTCCGTGACCTTGGACTGTGAGCTGGGTGCAGCAAGGGAACCCTGGGTAGTGAAGTGGGGATGGGAATGGGGAAGTCTAGGGTTGTCCTTGGGTGTCCTTGACCCAGGCCCCTCCCTCCTGAAAGATTCTTACACTACCGCACACGTTGGGTTTTTTGTCGTTTTAGTTTTTGAGACAAGGTCTTGCTATGTAGCCCAGGCTAGCTTTAAATCAAATCCTCTTGCCTCTGCATTCCCAATGCTGGAATGAATAGACCACCATCTCGCCCAATGATATCACATGCTTTTACTTTTACAAAATCAAAGCTGATTAAAACCAGAATGAAACAGCAATGAATAAAACGTAAAAGATGACAATATCAGGTGTGGAGAGGGAGGCTCAGCCAGTTTCCAGTTGTTGTGGGGAGGAATTAGTGTGAGGATTTGAATCTGCACGCTCCACCCACCCTCCCCTGGTGGACTTTGGAGGCAGTGAGACGGGTGGATTTATGCCCAGGGCCTCCGTGGTAGACACTTAGAACCAGGACGGGTTTCATGCAGCTCTGCCCTCATAGCTCACTCAGTGCTGGTCCTCATCAGCCCATGAACTCTGCTGTCCTGCTAACATCTTTATTCCCAGGGCCATGTACTTTGTAGTCGACCAACAAGCTGTCTGCGGCTGAATGTAGCTGAAAGCAGAACTTCGTGCTGGGCGAAGGGACACTATTATTGAATCCCTTCAGATATGTGACTATTCTGTTATGTCTGACTAGTTCACAACCTAAAAATCCATTTGCCCAGTGCTCCCTAGGACCACAGTGAGTGGAAAATGAGGCCTCCATTGCCACAGGCTACTCCGTGGCTGGACAACAGGTAAGGTCAAGCCTGAAGCAGAGATGGAGGAAAGCATACAAGTAACGCATTTTCAAAGATTGGTTTTATTTTTAACTATGTAGCTCTGTGTGTGTGTGTGTGTGTGTGTGTGTGTGTGTGTGTGTGTGTGTGTGCAGTTGCGTGCAGAAGCCAGAGAGAATGTCAGATTCCCCGGAGCTGGAGTTAAAAGAGGTTGAGAGCTGCTAGACATGAGTGCTAAAAACAGGATTCAGGGCCTCTGCAAGAGCAATGTTCGTTCTTAACCGCTCAGCCCTCCCTCCAGGCCCCAAGTCCCCATAAATTCTAAGGAGTGAGATATAAAGTACAGGCACAACCTGAAATGAGCTAGAACTAATAATATTGAAGCAGAAGAGAAATTAATGCTCATCCCTACTAGAAATGCAAGAACAAAAGGATCTCTCGGCTTTCTAATTTTTCTTTTTTAAAGAGGAGCTCAAACTACAGTAACAGCCTATCTAGGAAATTACAATAGCAAGGTTACTGTGGATCAAACCTACCAGGTGGGCAAAGCTGAAGACAGAATAGTAATCATATCTGTAAATGTTTCATGGACTATACATATTAAGCATTCTAGGGGGAAACATAAAAGTTCATAAAAAAAAAAAAACAGGAAGAGGAGGAAGGGAAGATTGACGATGAGTCCAAGACTTGTTACTTTCTGAAGGACAAGGTAGAAAGTACAAAGACAGTGTGTTCAGAGGAAGGTGTGAGGAGAGCACAAATACACACAATTAAGAGTGAAGGTCAGAGGCTGGAGAGAGATGGCTCAGAGGTTAAGAGCACTGGCTGCTCTTCCAGAGGTCCTGAGTTCAATTCCCAGCAACCACGTGGTGGCTTGCAACCATCTGTAATAAGGTCTGGTGCCTTCTTCTGGCCTGCAGGCATAGACACAGACAGAATATTGTATACATAATAAATAAATAAATAAATAAATAAATAAATAAATAAATAAATATTTAAAACAAAAACAAAAAAACATGCACACGAGAGCTGGGCCGTGATGGCGCACGCCTTTGATCCCATCACTTGGGAGGCAGAGGCAGGTGGATCTCAGAGTTCGAGGCCAGCCTGGTCTACAGAGTGAGTTCCAGGACAGCCAGAACTACACAAAGAAACTGTGTTTCAAGAGAAAAACAAAGGAGATGCTATCTGGGCGAGCCTGCTGGTTAATAGCCTCGGCACCTACCCCGAGCATCTAATGCCGACAGTGCGTCTCATAGCCATTTTATGCCTGGAGAGTTGTGTGTCAAGTTGATACACGCTAAAGTCATCCGGGAGGAGGGAGCTTCAATCATATTGTTAGCAAGCCTGTAGGGCATTCCCTTAACTAGTGATCGGTGGGGGAGGGGCTGGAACTAGTGATCGGTGGGGGAGGGCCCAGCCCATAGTGGGGGCCATCCCTGGGCTGGTGGTCCTGGGTTCTATAAGAGAAAAGGCTGCGCCTGTGAACAGCACCTCTTCATGGCCTCTGCATCAGCTCCTGCCTCCAGGTTCCTGCCCTATCTGAGTTCCTGTCCTGCCTCCCCTCAATTCACCTTTGGCTGTGGAGCTGGCGCACAAAGGTGGACTGAGGAGCTCTTGCTCTGAGAACAGTCTGCAGTCAAAGGTGGGCAAGTCCACCCTGCTCCGTCCAGGCCCTTCCTCTTAGCTCAGCACAGCTTCGTCCTGGAAACCAGAGTGGGGGTCACATGGCCCTGGTGGTTGAGCAGAGGCAAGGGAAGCCAGAGAGAGGGTGGGGACAAACTTGGCAGCGGTGACTTAGGAGGTAGAGGTGGTTCCGGTTGCTGCCCAGCAGTGTCTGAGTATTACATGGGCCTGTGGCTAGCAGGGCTGTTTCTTCCATTTGTCTACCCGCCAGGAAACAGAAGCCTCGGATAAACCCACAGCGCTGGCCTTAGAAGAAAAAGCAGCTTCATGGGCCAGAGCCAAGAGAAAGTACAGGCCCTGTTTTGTGTCTCCTGCCAGGTGGCTCCATGGATGTGCCTCCTGGATTTGAGATGGTCTCCTCCACCCAGGGAAGTGCGGTGGCTGGGCAGCTGGCAGGTCTGAAGGGCCCCTCTCCCCAAGGGTGTTTAGCCTCAAAAAGAAAATAGTCCCCGGGAAGTGGAGTTGTCTTGAGTACAGCACCATACTGTGGACTGCCGTGTGGGGCTCCATGGACACAAGCTGAACCGGGGTGGGACTCAGTGAAGGTGAGGCCTGCCTAGGGCTGTGTGGTGAAGCGCACAGCCCTCCAATGGGTGACCCCTGTCGCCAGAGGGAAGCTGAGGCTGGACCAGAATCAGCAGCAGGGCCAGATTAACCCACAAGTGCTTTTGGTCAAGTGGGGAAGAGACCGTCTCCATCTTTGAGGCGGTCCTAATGTTTAGTGTCTCTCATACTGGTCCAGTGTCTCTTCATGCTGAAGGTGAGGACATCTGGACCAAGGGGATTCTACTCAACATCTGGGAGGCCCAGTTAGTCACAGACGTAGGCTGCAGGCTCTTCTCTGGTCTAGCCTGGTTCAATGCACTGAGCCACATTGATCTCGGTTCCCTGCCGTTGCCGGAGCTGCTGGCTAATTTCGTGAGTCAACTCGGAGATGCAATTAAAAGTCAAACCCCTGGAGGCTGCGGAGATGGCTCAGAGGTTAATGGCGCACACTGCTTTCACACCAGACCCAGGTCCAGGCCCCAGTTCCCCCACAAGACAGCTCACCACTGTCCACAGGATCAGACACCCTCTCCTGGCCTTCCTGGGCACCAGGTACCCATGTGGTGCACAGGGCACACATACATTCAGGCAACACACTCATATACATCAAATATTCCTAAAATGTTAAATTCCCCAAGTCTGAGTATGCTGAGAAATCCCAAAGAGCATTGCATCTGGGTTGAATTCCAGTGTTTTAGTACCTGGGCTTCGAACTAACTTTTGTTTGGAGTCTTTGTTTCTTTGTTTTGAGATATGGTTTCTTTCTGTGCGCAGCAGCGCAACAGCTCTGGCTGTCCTCGAGCTCACCTTGGTAGACCAGACTGGCCTTGAACTCACAGAAATCTGCCAGCCTCTTTCCCCCAAGTGCTAGGATTAAAGGCTTTGAAGCATTTGATCCTTATCTGGGTTTTCCCCGAAGGAGTCGCAGCCTTCATAAAGCTTAGTTGTGAGAGGCCTTGGAAAACCAGATGTCTCCAGCTGAAAATTGTTTGGGCAGAGGATTCCCTCACAACTCCAGCTAAGAGGTTTTGGAACAGGGACACTGACTAGCTGAGAGGTGTAAATTGTGTTAACAATAAATAAAAGAGTTTGAAGCAACTGTCAGTTCACCAGCTGACTCCCCCTGCTGTTGGGCTAAACCCGAAATTCATCTTGGAGTGATCCCGATTCTTTCACAGACCCACGCAAAACTGACCGCTGACACTGAGCAAGCAGTCTGTCCTCCGTGGGGCTGTGGGGATCAATCCAACAGTGGAGGGCTGACTCCCCATCCAGGCAAGCGGGGAGCCCGCTTCCTGCCACCTACCCTCCCCGGTCCATGCACACCCTTCACACAGGTCTGTTCTCTGGAGCCAGGAGTCTCCCGGGCAGCTGCATCTGCATGTCCCACTTGCTTTTCTATGGTCCATCCTGTAGCAGTCTAAGCTCCCCAGAGGGTAGCCCTCTGGCAGGCTGCACTGGCCCCTCTGGAAGTTGGGTGCTAACTGCCTGGCTCACCCACAGAGGCTGACTCTGAATGACCAAACCCACACGTGGGTTGATTTTATCTCGCTTTCTGAGCAAAGCAGGCTGGGGTTCAATGGTGAGGCTACCAGATCAACCACGCTAGGGTGGATAGATAGGGGTGGGGTGGGAAATAAGGGGATTGCTGGGGAAGGGGACACCAGGGAAGGGATGA